TATTATTCCACAAAATTTCAAAGAAGCACAGAAATCTGCAGTTGCAAAGAATGGGATAAAGCAATGAAAGAAGAAATCGACATGTTGAAGAAAAAGGAAGGTCTGCGAATTAGTTGAAAAGCCAGAAAAGAAAATTATGCTGGAAAACAAATTCGTCTATACACTAAAAAGAAATGAAAGAATGAAGTAGTTAGATATAAAGCGTGTCTACTCACACACAGATTCAGAGAGAAGAGAGGTGAAGATTTTGATGACGTTTACAGTCCTGTAGTAAATTTTTCAATCATAAAAATATTTTTCACAATACTAGTATGTTTATATGGATGGTCTAGTTGTCAGTTAGATGTGAAAATTTTTTATTTATATGCAAAGCTCAATGAGAAAATATGTATGACCCAGCCAGAGGGATTTATTGAAGATAAAAATAAAGTGTGTTTATTACACAGGGCAATTTACGGTCTGCATCAAAGCAGCCACAAATGGGTTTGTGAATTTGAAAATACTTTAGAAAAATCTAGATTTTAAGAAGCTCTTATAGTGTAATTATGTTTATAAAAGCTCTAATGTAATCATCTTATTATATGTAGATAATATTTTAATTTTTAGTAAAGATCAGCAATGTATAGATAAAGTAATCTCACAGTTGAGAAAGTTTTTTTTATCTTAAAGTATTAGGCAGAACTAAAGTTACCTGGAATTGAATTTTTAGAAAACAACAAGGGAGCTTGAATACATTAGCAAAAATATACTGAAGAAATTTTTGCAAAATTTAAACATTTTCAAACACCAATAACTCTAAAAGCACTATTCTTACAAAATTAGATCGTCTGTCTACAAGTGCAGAAATTGCTGAAATGCAAAAATTAACCTTTAGAAATCTATTGGGATGTTTAGTTTTGTAACTAATAGGACAAGGCCTGATATCGCCTACGCAGAAATATCTTATCACAATTTCAAGAGAATCCTGGAATTAGAGATTGTGAAGCATTGTTAAAACTGCTTGGTTATCTTAATAGCATTAAATAAGTTAAACTTATCGAGGATTAAACATCTAAATGTATATTGTTATTCAGGTGCTGATTATGCAAGTAACAGAGATGACCGTGTGTCCATGGATGGACTCATATTGTATTTGAATGAAGCATAGGTAATTTGGAAAACATTTAAACAAAAATGTGTAAGTTATTCCTCCATGGAGGCAGAGTACGCTGCTTAATCGGAAGCAGCAAAGGAACTGATGGGGACAAAAAATATCTTACAAGATGAAGTTTTGAAGTTCATTTGTAAAAATGTAAGCTATTTTGCGATAACAAATCTGCAACGAATTTTTCTAGATCACCAATAGAAAACTGTCAGACTAAGCACACTCACATATGATATCACTTATTAGAATACTGGTGAATGATAGGGTGTGTGACCTCAAATTCATCTCTACCAAAGTAAATAATGTGAACTTATTTACAAAAGCTGTAACTGCTATGGACTTGAAAAAGTTTTGTTTAACTGTTTATAGTAATTAAGAACATTAAGTATTGCGTCTATAATATAGAATCAAATTAAGAATTTTATTAATTCTTTGTTTTTTTTTTTTTTTTTTTTCACAAGGAAAAGAGGGCTGCTGTTGTTTTCCTTAGGCAAGTTCAGAGGTCAATCGGCGATAAACTAACATGGTTGCCGTTGACATAGTACTGGTGGATTGGCCAATGTTGTGTATATATATGTTGAGATTGTGAACCTGATTGAGTTTGCAGGTTTCCTTTTGGCTTTTGTTGTTTTTAATGTAAAGGCTACTTTTACAGCCGCCTAGTTTATTTTATTTAAAGTTATAAAATAAAGATTAGTTTTATTTGTATATTAGTTCCGGCATTTATTTAAGCAAGGCAAAGTATGTTTTTGTGACTGCTCCAGTGCCAACAGATACAAATGGATGCCTGGAAGGTGGTAGGCATCGAATTGATGCTAGTGACGTTGCTAGTGTGAAGTGGCCACTATTATGACTACGTGACCTTCACGCTCATTTCTATTCCTAGGATGACTTGCCCCTCAGCGATGGTAGAATATCTCTTCCATGATCCACTGTCGTCAACACCAAGCAACTACAATATTGAGGTGCCAACCAATATGCCTGTTCGACCAACCTGCTTCTCTGAGGCCTACTATATGGCACTTCTGAAAGTCCGACAACTGTTTATACTGACGCTGGTTACATCTCAGTGGCATCTCTAGTCACAGTATCGTCCATCCAAATTGACAGATTCATTTGAATAGCCCTATGGCATGAGCAATCACGCTCTTAAACTCTCCCAGCTGCGCATATCATATGCACATATCGTGCTCACCCTTGTCTTACTAGCGCCGAAATTTAAATCATTTGCATATTTTTTACCAGACTAGATTCTTGCCGAGTTTCATGACTGTGGTTTAATATTTTCTGGGTGCATATATTTTTTTTAATGGCAAAGTGTGTTAAATTATTTATGAATACAAATGTACAAAAAGTGTAATTCCTAAACTAAATAACAAAGAGATTTTTCAAGGAATTATTACAAAACATCTTCAACATTCTTTAGCCCCTTAAGAGACAAATTGCACAATTTAGGCTTTTCAAATTTAAAAGAATAAAATATGTGTCATAAATTTGCTAACATTTTTTGTTATTGAAATTTTTTTACCATATTCTTTAATACATCATTCTAAAATGTAAGTAAATTCTTCGTTATATCAAATACATGACTAATTGTTTCTCTCTAAAAATGTGGGTACTAAATTAATTAAGATATAATTTAGAGCACTTAAAGAACCAGCTATTTATCTCTGGCTCATCGTCCACAGTATAAGTGTGCAATGTTATCTTGTCAAAGTCTCATATAAAATTGCCTCAATCAATTGAAAAATTCTGCTTACAGCACACATGCATTTTTTTAAATTCACAGTTTGGAAAGTTTATGCATTATCTTGTGTAACATCACTAAGAGATTACCTTACACAAAGTCAGAAAATTGCATGCATATGTATCTATAAAGTAGAAATAGTATAAAAAATATAAATTTATTTAGTTCCAAAAACAAGATATTTTTTTCTACAGAAGTGAAAACTTGCACAGTACATTTGACCTTTTCTATCAAAATCTAATGCTATCATTTTTAATGAAAACATTTTCCCAATTAAGATCTTTAAAGGATAGTGCACTAAGCATGCACCTTACATAAGATAGAAATGAAGAAAAATCCAATTAAAATTGTAGTTATGATGTAAAATATGAAAATTAGATGTTCTACCTGATTATAAAAAACTAATCATAAGATCCTGTCTGAATTCTCATGATTTTTATATTTGTTATATTTTGAAGCAGAAATAAACATGACTACAACATACCAAAAAGTTTAAACTTCCACACATGCATTAAAAAATGTTTTGCTAAAAAAATGTTTACAAACCAAGCTAAATCTAATAAAACTGTAATAATTGTATCGATTATTGGTATTAATTACCGCATTAACACGTCAACTGTGAAATTCTTGTCAAACATTATGATTTAGTGCCAGTTATATATAAGCATGACATAACAATGGATTTGTAACACCAGTGCTTTCATCTGCCCACAGATTCTTAATAAGCAGCATTTTGTTTTTACATACAAGGATATAAATTAATTGTTATTGTATTTTTTTGCATTTAAAAAAAAAAAAATAAATAAATAAAACCTGAAACCTGTCTTTAACAAAACAGCAAGCAGTAGATTATTTTCAAAGTTATGGGATCCTAACATCAATGAAAGTGTCTATGACCATTAAAAGAGTAACACATAAGAACAATCACCTGCATGAAGTTTGTACTCATTATTTGTATAATTGAGTAAAGACTTCAGAATAAAAAAAAGGTGAGTAGAATACTGATTGCTTATTATATGAAGAGGCATGAGTTCTTTCAGAATTCAGAAGGAACAATTGCCCAACTTTGGCAGGACCTCTGGCAATTTTCAGAATTTGATGGTAGCCAACTTTCACAGTAAACAGGATAATATGCAAATACCATTATTTTATATTTATTTAAACATAATGACTGTAAAATGACTTTATTAATCCTTTTACAATGATTCAAAATAACAGATCTGAAATATTATATATAACAACACTATCACGCATAAAGAACGTTCTCTACAAACTTCCGTCTGCCCAAGATATGCATAATCAAACTTTTGTGGCAGAATGAAATATTTTTACCTGATTATAAAATCAGAACTACTTTTATCTATTATTTAGTTTTTGAAATTAAATAATAGATAAAAGGTGTTTTAATTTTAAATATGCAGTTAAACGTGTTAAACTAAACACACGCACATAGATGGTTTGGTCCCCGGATAGCACTTTCATTGGGCCTTATTATACATTTGGCCTCTCTGTCACAAATGCCAAAATGCGTGACAGGTGCATAACAGAAAAGTATCAATTTTAGTATCTAAGATCTTGCTAAGACTGACTTCCTGCAAATCTTTTTTAGTGTCAGTTTCTCATTAATAGCTTTAAACTCAACTTCAAATCAAAGATATTTATTATTAAGATAAAACTTTCCGTATCTCATTAAAAAAATTGCTGCTAGTTTCATAGTTTTTACAAACATAATTTTGAACCTCCAACTTGGGCCTTCAATTCTTTGTTTGCATACTCCACTTACAAGGTAAGAATAACGATAAACTAAAATATTGCAACTGAATGCTACTGCCATGCAAATACTAATGGTGTGTATGGCGCATTGCGAATACAGCAAAGCACACTAGGGCTATCTGTGTAAGGGAAGGGATGCCTTCGTGGAGGACTTTCTAAGGGAACTGGCTCGTATACATGTTACACATGGGGAAAACCACGAAAACACCTACGCAGCCAGACTGTTCACGGGATTCGAAACCTCGGACCGAACTACCAGTGTTCAGCAATTTTGCATATACTAATGAAATTTAAAAAAAATAACAATAATGAAGCATTAGTTGCTGATAAACTTACCCTATTGCTACCGACAGTAGCAAAAATATTTTGTCCATCCTTTAAATAAGGATTGAATTGAACACCAAACAGTGGTTGACCATGGTCTTCCTGCAGATATTTAAGTATGTATATTAGTTATAACTCTACAATTAAATTTATGAAAAAAAAGCATATTTTTAACGAAAATATATATACGTAATTACAATAGGCAGAAATTAACTTTTTCAAAAGCATACATTTTTGCTCAATTACACAGTTTTGCAAATAAAAAGAACTCTAAATATACCATAAACATTTAATTTTTCAACCAATCACTGATTCCAAAATTTTTACAGTTTTTCTAATGGCCTTCGTATTTATGAACTTTCAATTTTCTATATTTTGGGCCCATATGAATTTTTAAAACTGAGATTGAAATCAAAAACAAATTTACTCACAGAGGATACATTATTGGTCCATAACACTAAAAATAGCGACAAAAAAAAAAAAAAAAAGTTTTAATTGTAAAATAATACCAGGAATAAAGCATACAAATAAAAAGACTTCCCTTAATGACCAGATATTTGTTCAAAGATGTTGACAGTATGGCCAAACACATCACCATTCAGCAATCTCATCACCAAGAACAG